GTGCGTTCTTTCAGCCGTACCTGCGCTCACAGTTCAGTGAAACAATAATTCAGATTTGACTGAACTCGTACTCGGAGGTAGAACATGTGTAAACAGACCCACAATGCAATGTTTCCTCATTAATCTGCACCGCTTCACCCCCCCGTCCGCCCGCAGCGTCAGTGAGGTCTGCAACTTGCATCATCATTAACATCCATGCTGCAGCCGGCAGGACCGTGAACCTGAAGAAGCTTCCTGGATTTAAAAGATCAACGACTGAGCAGAATTAATTCAGTTTAATTTAAAATTCACGTGATCAATCGTAAAAGGGATTTGAGTTTAGCTTTATCCTGCATGAGTTGCATGTTTAAAAAAAACAAGCTAAAATCGTGATCTCACACACTTTGCACTTCCAAGGTGTGAGTAATAACTTGAGAGGACTGCATCTTTAAAGTCACGAGATGACTAAATGTGACAACGGTGTTTGACAGAAACACAAAGTGTGCGGCAGTGGAAGCTGATACGGACCGAGCCAGCTTGTGCAGGTTGGAAAAGATTCCCTCGGGGACGTTCTCGATGAGGTTGTGGTCCAGGCTCAGGGTGTTGACGCTGACCAGCAGAGCAATGGTCTCCCAGGGGATGTCCACCAGGTTGTTGTAACTCAGATCCAAGTCCTCCAGAGTCTCCAGGAAGTCCTTCAGGGGCAGCAGAACAATTCAGTTACACATGAAAGAGCTCAAGCAGTGAGTTAGTTCTTTAAACAACGTCCAACTGTGAAGAGCTGAATGTGACACGGAGATGTCTCCATTATCTTCTGCATCAAATGTGGTCCCTTTCATTAGCTCATGAATGATTCTTTTCATGGAATAATAGAAAGATGGAGAATATCTGCCTGGAGATTTTATGGTCTCTTGAGATATTTTGCTGTAAAAACAAACACAAAAAGACCCCCCCCCCCACACACAAATAGACAGTATAATAATCTATATTTATGTTTCTGACTCTCCAGGTCAGCTAACATACATTAAAATAATATAGTTTGCAGCATTTTAAAAACATTAATTTACCTTGCATACTGTAACAAACTATCCAAAGTACCTCTACAGATTCACAGCCACAGTATTATTGTACTCAGTACTTGTGCTCTTAGGTCTAACAGTGTTTGCTATTGCTCGTCTTATCCGTCTTGTGAGAGCTGCATGTCATTGATGTAGCTGTTTACGCTTTTGGTAAATGTACCTCATAAATCAAACACTCTTGATGATGTCATGTGGTTACTACTGTATATGTGGTATTATAAGTGTTTTTTGTTCAGTACTGATTGCATACTGTGTTCACTATCACGATGAAGACCAACATTTTATTTCTTGTCATTCATTCAACCAACATGACCCTGAAAGAAACTTCTGTTTGAGTTTCTGATGTGGATTTGGTTTGGACTTCACTGGAAGACGAGCAAAAATTGTCAGACTCTTATTAGCCAGAGTCAAGCAACAGAGCAACTAGCAGGAAGAAGAAGATCCAGAAGATGGTAGATGAGACCAAGGTTAGATGATGACACAAGACATTCAGACATTTATTTTATTTATTTGTTAAACTTTATTTAATCAGGCAAATCTCACCGAGTTCGCAGATCTCCTTTGCAAAGGAGGTCTGGGCCTGAAAGCAGCCCAACATGCATGTTTCTGGGACTAAATGAATGATTTCCAGAGTCTCCTGGACGGAGACAAGTTGCTGTTGAATGCCACAGATACTCTGCAGCAATGTCCCATGTAAGAATAAAACACCAACAAAAATGAGATGTTATGCCACAACTCTGTAACAACTGGTTCATGCTGTCCATTTTCAGGATGTTCAGCCTATCGTGCACATCTCAGCTGTTGAAACTTGCAGCACGCAGTACAAGTGGTTGCCCAGTTAAAAGCCAGAGCCCACCAACAGTTCAGGACAGACTGGTGGGTGAAGATTCTTGTTCTCCTGATTTGAGATTCCTACTGCCGTACACTGTTAACCGTGTGGTTCTCCCCATTCAAGCCCCGACTGATTCTGGAACTGAGAAGAATCTCATCAGCCATGATCTTATGGAACAACATCATCTTCCCACAATCCTCCTGCAGCAACCACTATTGGTCGCAGCTCTCACTGACCAAACCATCACCTTCATCACCTACAGGACTGAAAGGGTGCACTTTGTTATTTCTGGCAACCATCATGAATGGGGTGAGTTTTACGGTTTTTTTTTTTTTTTCTGCTCCAACCTCCTATGTGGTCTTAGTATTTCACTAACTTCTAATACATAACCCGGTGATAAATTCAAGAAAACAAATAGAAAGTTGGAATACAGATTTTTTTTTGGCTAAGTGTCTTCGAGCTGCTGTTTCCCTCCAGAAGGAAAGGACCATCTGATAGATTTATCCAGAGTTCCCACTTGTTATCATGATCTGACTCAGTAAAAGGAAAGCTCTTTACCTCCACACCGACCAAACAATCGTGCTACTGATTTGCTTCTTGGAGCTCCCCTACCTTCGAGCAGATTATATAAATTGTCTGGCCTAGAACGAGAATCTATTAAGTGCTATACTGATAATTTTTAAGCCTCTGGTATCATCCGTCCTTCAGTGTCTCCTGTTGGTGCTGGGTTTTTATTTGTCAAAAAAAAGGACGGCAAGAACAATATCCTTTATCTTTTATGGACTCTGTGTTCGAACATTTACATTCAGCTAAGTTAAAGTTACCTCGGTCTATGAAAATACATCCTGTTCTCCCAAATCAAACCTGTCATCCAGAGTCACCTGTGCTCTCCTACAAACCTCCCCCCACCCACCTGTCTCATCAATAACCACCTTGCTTTTTCCATTTATTGTATATTGGGTGTACACCACAGTGGAAGAGGGTTCCAGTAGCTGGTTGACTGGGCAGGTTATGACCCACAGGAAAGGCCCTGGATTCCTTATAATTTTATTTTAGATCTTAGCCTTATTTCAGATTTTTATCAAGCTCATCCCGAGAAGAGACGTCTATCGCCAAGAGGCAATCCTTGACTGGGAGCTACTGTGAGGATTTCAGTTCCTGCTCCTGCCATTACTCCACCTTCTTGCTACTCATAAGATACAGGTGTGTTGTTCAACCACAGATGACCCCGAAGACCCAATGATCTAGGACTGCATCCAAGCAGAGGACCTTCCACAATTCTTCATCTGAACATTGTATCGCCATGATTTTCAGCTTCTAGCCACTGAAAAATGTATTACCTCAATATTTTTCTAGTGATTACTAAGAATCATTTTCTTGTGTTTTTGCAGTTACCTTTGAGAACCTCACCTAAGACTTGAGCCACCCCTCACCTGAGTCATTTTCCTGTGCGCTCCTGGAACAACAAATTTACTCCTCACCAACTGCAATAAGTATTTGGACATTACTGGCCTCTGCATCCATCTCTGGTCCCACCTGTCACCTCCATCCTGTGTGCATTTACCTCCTGGAGGTTACCTGCATATTGGAACTGAAATCCTCCAACCTCTCCCAGACTTCAGAAGAAACAACCAATAGTAAGAGCATTACCTTCTGTCTAACCACCCTGTAAATAATATTTCTTGAGATACTCACATAATCCCATGCCTTACAGATCCTCCTGGCACCGTTCCCTGTTGACACTCACCAATAAAAACACTTACATTTTTTATCCTGTGTCTGTTTTTCGGTCGCTGGAATACAAACTCTGGTTTAAAAATCAAAGTAAGCTTGGCAAAAATGAAAACCAGTGACTCCCACAACCCAGAAATGAAGAAATGGGTAAAGGTAATGGATGGATGGATGGATGGATGGATGGATGGATGGATGCTCCCCTGACCTCACAATTCACACGAGTCAGGTGAAACTTCAATTTAAGGTTCATTTTACCAGACTTCAACAAAAACATATCCCTTATAAATACTAGGAAAACTGTGATCATTACACACCACAAGACTTAACAGTTTATATCTTACATTGTATTTGTATTAAAGGAGGGGGAGGGGTAAAATCAACATTTAAGGCAAAAAAATAAAACAATAGGACTTTTTAATTTTGACATTTTACAGTACTGTTGCCGATAAGACTTGCTTTAAGTTTGTGCAAGTAGTGCACTCCTGTGATATATTCTTTAACTCTAAAATAAAAATAAAATGTCTCAGTTGATGAAATGATGGAGGAACAAAGGCTAGAAAACCAACCCAGAAGAAAAGGAAATGGGAGGAATTATAGAAAATGACCCGGATCAATCAAAGCATGTTGTTTTCTTTAATTGCCTCTGTGCTCGGCTCATAATCAGGACGCTGAAGAAACGCCACAAGACTGAAAACATTACAGAAATAAAAAACACAAAGAGAAACACTGCGAGACAGAAACATGAAAGGGGAAATTAACAGCTTGTTAATCTGCTGAAGTGTAGCTGTCAGAGCTGTAATTGCTCTCATAAAGCACAAAATGAGGACACTGTTTGAATTTTAGAGTTCCTCCATTTTCATCACAACAACTCGTGCTTCAGCTGCTTTTTAATCTTATTTTCGGCAACAAAAGAAACTGTAAAAGCCGGGAAGACGAGTACAAAACGCAGAAAATGAGTCCTAACTGGCCTCAATTACACGAGTGTCCTGAAGACAAATAACTTCTTTTCTTCAAACTGTTAAAAATATCTCCGGTAATCGTTGTTTATTTTAAATTTGTTCTTGTATAAACTGTTTCATGGTAGAGACGACGTGTCGGAGGCGCAGATACAACCATGGATGATGTTCAGAGGGATGGAGGAGACGTTTGGTCTCGATGTTTTTATGAAGGAGTTGTTTGTGTTTTTCACAGCAGGAGATTTTCTGCTCTTACATTATGAAACTCAGCACACGGGAACTGTTTTTAACTTGAACTATAGACAACACTTGACCATTGTGACCTCTATAATTTTAAGCAAGACTAGGAGGAGGATGGAGATGTTGGGATGAGCGTTCACAATAAAACTTGCAGACTTGAAAAAAGAGACTTAACTGAAGAACGAAGTCGATCCAAACCTGCTTGAACTTCCCTCCTTCCATCTACAGAAAAAGATCAGAAATGCGTCCCTGTTCTGATGTAGTTTCTCTTGTTTTGCACCGTGGTAGGATTTTAGGTCAGAAACCTCAACCAGTAGGACAGTAGGACCTCCAGTATGGATTGGAGGTCCTACTGTCAAAGTGGGAAACTCCACCAAGGGTAGCTAAGATACGGTGGGACTTCCAGATCCAGAGTAACAAGCAGGTGATGACTAACCAACCAAACATTGTTGTGGTCGACAAGCAAGAGCAGAAGACAGTGGTGATAGATGTAGCAATCTCAAGTGACATCTAGAAGGAGCAGCTGTGGAAACACCAAGGACTGAAAGAGGAAAAACAGAAGTTGTGGAGACTCAAAGTGTTAATCGTCCCAGTGGTCATTGAAACATGTGGTTCTGTGACCCTCAAACTGGAAGAGTGGCTCCAACAGACCCCAGGAACAACCTCGGAGATCTCTGTCCAGAAGAGCTCAGTCCTAGGAACAGCTGAGATACTGAACAGAACCCTCAAACTCCCAGCTCAATGGCAGATGATACACGTTTGCAGTTGAGTGGAACCGCCCAAGAGGCAGCAGTCATGGATTTTAACTTGGCAACCCAAATTTTGAAAGCACCCATTATTTTGCATGTAGCCATTCTGCATGGAAGTAGCACAAGCTTAGTTCAGATGTTGTTCTTATTTCTGAATATTAAATTTCCTAATCTGGTGAGTGTCATTCGAGCTGAAACACGTCCTGGTGTGTGTACCTGGAAGGCTCCCTCTGATATGCTGTGCAGCTGGTTGTTAGCGAGGATGAGGTGCCTCAGGTTCACCAGGCCCTGGAAGTGGGAGTCGTCCAGGACCGTGAGGCGGTTGGCGTCCAGGTGGAGGGCGTGCAGGTCCTGGAGGTCAGCGAAGGTGAACGGCCTGATCTGACTGATGGTGTTTCTGCTCAGCGTCAGGTGGATCTGGACAAGAAGGGAAAGACGACATCAACAGCAGCTCTGACGGATCAATTCTGCTGCACCTTCATTTCTTTTCCTGCAACAGTTACTTTGGCTGCAAAGTTAAAAATGATGAAGAAACTAACTTGAGTTGAGAAAGTCTGAGAGGAAACAACAGGGAGCTGGAGATTATTTTAAATCAGAACTTTACTAAACTATACAGGCGCTGGTCATAAAATTAGAACATCATGCAAAAGTTGAATTATTTCAGTAATTCCATTCAAAAAGTGAAACTTGTTTATTATATTCATTCATTACACAGACTGATATATTTCAAATGTATATTTATTTTAATGTTGATGATTATAACTGACAACTAATGAAAACCACAAAATCATATCTCAGAAAATGAGATTATTTAAGACAAAAAAAAAAAAAAGATTTTTAGAAATGTCGTCCAAATGAAAATTATGAACATAAAGTATGAGCATGTGCAGCATCAATACTTAGTTGTTGCTCCTTTTGTCTGGATTACTGCAGCATCAGAATCAGAATCAGTTTATTATCGCCATGTCAATGAACGAGGTTCACAAACTAGGAATTTGCTTCGACATAAAGGAGCGAATAGTAATAAAGTAAAAATGAAAACATTACATAAAACATGTGTACACCCATACAATACACCATGCATCAATGCATCGTGTCATGGAGTGGATCAGTCTGTGTCTCTGCCCAGGTGTTCTGAGAGTCCAGGTTGTTCTGATCGTGGCCTTCAGCTCTTCTGAATTGTTGGATCTGGTGCATCATCTTCCTCTTCACAATACATCATGAAGTTTCTATGGGGTTAAGGTCAAACGAGTTTTCTGGTCAATTAAGAACAGGGACACCATGGTCCTTAAACCAGGTACTGGTAGTTAGACACTGTGTGCAGGTGCCAAGTCCTGTTGGAAAATGAAATCTTCATCTCCATAAAGTTGGTCAGCAGCAGGAAACAGGAAGTCTCTAAAACTTCCTGGTAGATGTCGTGTTGACCTTGGACCTCAGAAAACACAGTGGACCAACACCAGCAGATGACATGGCCCCAAACCATCACTGACTGTGGAAACTTGACACTGGACCTCAAGCAACATGGATTCTGTGCCTCTCCTCTCTTCCTCCAGACTCTGGGACCTTGATTTACAAATGAAATGCAACATTTACTTTAATCAGAGAACAGAACTTTGGACCAATCAGCAGCAGTCCCAGGCGAGACGCTTCGGATGCTGTCTCTTGTTCAAGAGTGGCTTGACACAAAGAATGCAACAGCTGGAACCCATGTCTTGCATATGTCTGTGCGTGGTGGTTCTTGAAGCACTGACTCCAGCTGCAGTCCACACTTTGTGAATCTCCCCCACATTTTGAATGGGTTTTGTTTCACCATCCTCTCCAGGGTGCAGTTATCCCTGTTGCTTGTACACTTTTTCTACCACATCATTTCCTTCCCTTCACCTCTCTATTAATGTGCTTGGACACAGAGCTCTATGAACAGCCAGCCTCTTTAGCAATGACCTCATGTGTCTTGCCTCCTTGTGCAAGGTGTCAATGGTCGTCTTTTGGACAACTGTCCAGTCAGCAGTCTCCCCCATGATTGTGTAGCTACAGAACTACACTGAGACCATTTAAAGGCCTTTGCAGGTGTTTTCAGTTAATCAGCTGATTACAGTGTGACACCAGGTGTCTTCAATATTGAACTTTTCACAATATTTTAATTTTCTGAGATACTGAATTTGTGGTTTTCATTAGTTGTCAGTTATAATCATCAACATTAAAATAAATAAACATTTGAAATATATCAGTCTGTGTGTAATGAATGAATATAATATACAAGTTTCACTTTTTGAATGGGATTACTGAAATAAATAAACTTTTTCATGATATTCTCATTTTATGACCAGCACCTGTAATGCTGTGAGCAATGAAGATAATGTCAAACATTCAGCATTCAAACAACTGAAAGGTTTATTTTAAATCAAATTAATATGAATGTGCAGACAACCAACATGTCATCCTGTTTTAAGGAAGTACTTATAACACAAGGTAGTAAAAATTCAACATATTTGTGTGTTTTTGGTTAAGTCCATCAAAAGTCACGGCAGATGTTTCCAGTGTTTTTGAAAGGTGTTTGTGCTGTAATGATCTAAATCTTGGAGATCTTAGAGATTCTGCAGACGGCCATAAACACACCACTGAACAATAAAACAGCTTTTAACGTGCAACAACCTCCTGATGGTCACTTACTGTACTTTAAATGCAACCGTTTGATTCGGTTAGACTCTTTCAGTCTCAGTGCTCAGAAGTTAAAGATCTGTTGTTTGACCACACAGGAGATAAGAATCAAGGTTTATCTTTAATTAAACCATCAGCTAAACCACAGGATTCTTGTTTCTCCCCTTTATTTATAAGGACGCTGTATGTAATTGATTTACGAGCGCTGTGTATGAGACGAGCCTTGAAAATAAAGGTAAAAATATTGATACATCTGTTTTTCATTACCAGAACTGTTCGACAACGCAGTACTGCAGCGAGGAGTCTGTATGCAGCTAAATACTTCCACTGTACACAAAAACATTTTAACGCCCGAGAAAAGGTCAACGAGCTGCCGCACGTTTGTTTGGAAACGCTCCACCGTCACCGGGGACATCTGTCACCGCTGAGAGATTAAAACCTCATTTCTAAAGGCTCCCCGAGTGTGAGCAAACATCTCCGCTGCCATCGTACCGGATAGGAGACGTGTTTTCACCAACTAAAGGAGCCTCGAGCTGCGTCAAGCGTCGCTGTTTGGTGATTAAATATCATTTCCTTCGCAGGTTTCTTGTTGAGATGTGTGCCGTGAAGCTTCCTGGCGTCTCTCACATGAGCACGGTGGAAATAATTTGTCAAATTTAGATGATATCAGGGACTTTAGAGTGAACGTGAATCACGAGGAGCAGATGTTCCTTTAGCCAAAATGTTGACTTTAATTTCTCGTGTTTTTACACTAACATGTTTCTGAAAGCCCAGAAAACTTTTGTCACTTCAGAGTGAAACGCATCATTAGACTGAACCTGGGAGAACTTCATCATCTCTGTTGGTTTTATCTTTATTTCAAACCTTTCTTTTATCCTCAGACTAGCAATAGGCTGAATTTCCCCAAAATGCCTTTTAGGTGACAAATATTTAAATTCTGCTCAAACCTATAGGTGTTACTATCTGATTAATATTACCCAACCACAGAGGAGAAAAACTTCCACTGCACTCAGTTAAAATCAAACTGTAGCTTTCTAAAGGTCATGACAGGTTATTTATTGTCACAGGAGCAAAAAGACACAATGATGTTTAATTAAGTAAAACACATTTTCTTTTGACATCTTGTAACTTGTTGGTAATTTATTCAAGCTGTGAAAATGCTGCCGTTCATGTCTGGAGGTCTGACGTTTGGCTGTAAAACTAAACGTTTTCTCTGAACTGGTTTAAAGCATCCACCAGCTGATTAACAGAAGTTACTTTGTGTCTTTACAAACAACCGTTCATGCAGCTTCCAGAGGACGATTTGAAGACGATCACTGGTTTTTCAGTCTGACTGCATCTCCTCAGGAACCTGACATCGCTGTCAGCTTCACAAAAACAACTGGCTCCTACTTTTTTGGCTCCACAGGACTGAATAGTAACTAAAGATAGCTAATGGTTACCTAAATGCTAACTAGAAAAGTGGTTGTTAAAAGCCAAATTTATTTTAAGAAGCCCAAACTGTACGCTGAAGTAAACATCAAAGATGATGTCAGTATATTTGAGTAAAATATTTGTAAATACATGTAAATATTTCATAAAATACATACATTTCATTAAAGACTACCTGACAAACAAACAACAGTTTGTGAGACTGAAGGGTTGTGTGTCTAACCAGGTGGTCAGTAGCTCCGGAGCGCCACAGGGGACTGTACTCTCACCATTCATTTTCACTCTGTACACCTGATAACAAATTTTGTTGGGTGATTGTCTCAGAAATTATTGCGATAAACGATAATATTGTTTGAAATTTGACAATAATTAGTAATTATTGTCAATTTTAAGCAGAAATGTTGGTTAATTTTGTGTGTAGTAGCTTTTTTGACCACTCGATGGGAGTATAAGGCAGTTTGAACTGAAAGATGGATAGTGAGGGAGTGAGCAGCGTGTCTCTTTAAGGAAAATGGGAGGGAGGTCCCTTGACGTGACATGGGCTGGCTCTCTTCGGTTCTCAAAATGGCGGACACTCGGTGTGGTTTGAGCTCTTTAGCGTTTTTCACACAAAGCTTTTAATAAAAATCAATAAACGAGTTCTCAGCTTCTTTTTGCAGAGAAAAACAAGTTTTTAGACAAAGGCACGAGTTTCAACCGAGAATTTGGAGCTTCAACAAGATGAAGTTTTTTCCCTGAGATCAGCTTGTTAGCTTAGCTCGTAGCTTAGCTGCTTTTAACGATCCAAAAACTTGATTTTTGTTTCGTTAAAATGGATTTTAAAGAGAAAAGAGAAAGGGAGGGGTCAATGAAGAACACCGGAGTTGAGTCTTTTGTCCTCCAGTGTCTTCAGTAGAAAGAGACATGAAGAAACGATGAAGCTGATGAATGAAAACGAGGTCGATAATTGTCATTTATCATGCGATTAATTGATTTATTGTTTATCACGACAGGCCTACCTCAGATTTCCAGTACAAAATAGACTCCTGTCATCCGCAGAAATATTCAGATGACCTTATCAGAGATGGACAAGAAGCTGAGTACAGGGAACTGGTGGACCTCTTTGTGGCATGGTGTGGAAACAATCATCTCATCTTGAACGTGAACAAAACAAAGGAGATGATTGTAGATTTCAGGAGAAACAGGAACAGGTCCAATCCTATTTCCATCATGGGAGAAGAAGTGGAGTTGGTGGAGAAGTATAAATACTTTGGGGTTCACCTGGACAACAGACTGGACTGGAGATGCAACAGTGAAGTGTCTACAAGTAGGGACAGAGCAGACTGTACTTCTTGAGGAAGCTGAAGTCCTTCAACGTTTGCAGCAAGATGCTGCATATCTTCTATAAGTCCGTTGTAGAGAGCGCTGTCTCTTCTGCATCATCTGCTGGGGGAGCAGCATCAGAGCAAGTGACTTCAAAAAGATCAACAAGCTCATAAAGAAGGCTGGCTCAGTTCTGGGGACTCCTCTAGAACCTCTGGAGATGATTGTTCAAAGAAGGATTCTTCATCAAATGAAGAACATTATAGACAACCCTCAGCATCCTCTTCATCAGACTGTCATACAACAACAGAGTGTCTTCAGTCAGAGGCTTCTTCAGATCCACTGCAGGAGATCCTTCCTGCCCACAGCCATCAGCATCTAGAACAACTCTTTAATGAAACCAGGACGATGAGCTACAACATCAGTATTCACATATTAACATCTGGAGTAGTGTGTTCAGAGTTTTAGGAGAAGAAGGTGGGTACAAAGAGAACCAGTGCAGGGGACTCCTTCTTGTACCGACATAAGGATGGGTACAAACTGACCAAACCATTATAGAGTAGGAGAAGTATGAAGACACCACCTCTTCAAATATGCATCTTCAGTTCAGCAAACGGACTGGACCAGAACCATTGTTCTGGTTCAATGAACTCCTCCCGCAGGAAGTTGGTTGTAGCTCAGATTGACCTAAAATCTTGAAGCGTTAGTGTCTTACATGTTAAATATTCTGCTCCAACAGAGTTTAAACACACACAGGGGTTTCTTGTATCATTGTGAGGTTGTTTCATTGGGAGGAAGAACTGATTTTATTTTGTACTTGGTGTGATCCGAGTGAAATATGGACCAGTTAGAGAGCTAGCTCATGCTACGTTAAGCTTTTCCTGTCTCCAACAAGTTTCATCCAATCGGACTTAACAATTCTACAGAAGCTGAAAAAATCCAGCCATGTCCTGTAACCGTTACACGAGTGACAGGCTGTGTCAGTGTTTTACGGGACACTTCAGTGACCCGCAGCCTTAACTCATCATGAATAATGACACTGAGTCATGAGGGCAACGTGTTTTGAGCAACACAGAATTACACAACAAGGTAATAATTGCTGACGAGCCTGCAGGCAGCCATGAAAGGCAGCTCAGAGACCAATCGAACTGAACCACGGCTGCACTAAATCCTTGTCAAATTGCTTGGCAGCGCGTTCTGCTCGTGTGGCTCGCACTGAGCCTGAAGGTGCTCAGAGACACTGACCAGGCTGGACATGTTGGCGAAGTCCCGGTGCCTCAGCGTGGTGATGAAGTTGTCCATCAGCCGGAGCTCGGCCGTCTGCCGGTCGATGTTGGGCGGCACGAAGAGGAGGCCCGTCTTGGCGCACAGCACCGTGTAGGACGGCAGCAAATTCTGGCAGGTGCAGCGCTTCGGACACAGCATGTTGGAGACGCAGGGGGGGAGGCAGGAGAGGAGGACGAGGAGAGGACAGAGCAACGAGGAGACGGTGTCCATGACTGTTCATCTGCTGAGAGACAGAAACAAAAGCTTAAGGTCAAAAACATCAACCAGGAAGTCTTCATGTCCTGCTTTTAAACTCAGACAAGGCAAAGGTTCTGGTACTGTATATGGACCGGAGCAACTTAGGAACACACTTTGCCTTTTTTCACTTCCATCACTTCCTCTGGATGACTTTAATGGGGCTCCAGTTCTAACATAAAGAACCGTGGCGTTGTTTTTGATCAGACACGTTCAAGCCACATATGAAAAATGTTACCAGCACAGCTTTCCTCCACCTGAACAACATCCTAAACTTGGAAACATCCAAGACATGTCACAACCACTCATGATATGATGCACAGAGAAAGGTGCCGTGCCTACACCCACAGATCACAACAGAACGAGAAGAAAATGAACACAAGTCAAAAAAATATGAAACAAAATTGAAACATCTGATCTAAAGATGATGCAGAAGAACTGGTCCATGCATTTGTCACGTCTAGACTGGACTATTGCAATGGTTTATTATCTGGGTGTCCAAATACTTCTTTAAAACGTCTTCAGTTGATCCAAAATGCTGCTGCCAGAGTCTTAACTGGAGTTACTGGGAGAGATCATATCTCTCCAGTTTTAGCTTCTCTCCACTGGCTCCCTGTCAAATCCAGTCTTCCTTCAAAACATCCAAACCTCTCAACATCAAAGCTCCAGATTATAATGCAGATTAAACTGTTTTATGTAACAGAGCACTTCGCTCTCAGACTGCAGGTTTACTTGTGGTTCCTAGAGTTTCCAAAAGCAGAACGGGACGAAGATCTTTCAGTTCTCAGGCTCCTCTCTTGTGGAACCAACTTCCAGTTTCTGTCCGTGAGGCTTGTCCAGTTTTAAGACTGGGCTTAAGTCTTTGCTGTTTGATAAATCCTATAGTTGGGGTTGGCTTGGGTTTCCTGAGCTCTCCCTTAGTTCTGCTGCTAAAGGCGTACACTGCTGGAGGAACCCCTTACTCTGCTGCTGTCTTTAGTTTTTCCACTCATGAAATTATTGCTGTCAACATGTATTTTCTTTGTTTTTCTTGCCATAGACAGTGGACTATAGAAACTCCACGTGGACCACTTCCTGTCTGTCAGTCTACTTCCTGTCGTTTCAAACCCCTGAGCCTGGTTCTGGTTCTGCTGGAGGGTTCTTCCTAGTTAAAGGAGTTGTTTCCTCCTGTTGCCCTCGTGCAGCTCAGGATGGAAACTAACGAAGAGAAGGTTCATCTCAGTCTGTTGGTTTCCTTACGTAGAAAACTGGTAGTAATTTCATTTGATCACGAATGTTTTTGTATATATTAGGAAATAAAATGGCAATAATTGGATTTGAATTAGATTTATGATTTGGAATTGTTTTTTCTTCTGTGTGTAAATAAACTGAATTAAACTGGTTTAACGTGAAGTGAAGCAACTTTGAAGAACTTCTGCTTCAAACTGTAAACTCAGCTCGTTGGGTTGATTTAAAGATGAACTCGTTCCCTCCAGCTCCCGCCGAAGCCGCTGTAAATATGAAGATGACTTCTGGACGTTTTTAAAGCCTTTGGAAACTTTTCTCAGCTCCACAACGTTTCTACAGAAACTTTAAGGGAACAGCTTTTATAATAAATGTCTCAGAGGACAGGAGGGCAGATTAAAAGAATAAATGTGAGGAGAGGCAGAGCAGAGTGATGGTAAATTAAAGAACGCTCGTGTTTCTGTCTGCTGAGACATCCAACATGTAAACAGCACGTCTCCAGCAGAGCTCTGTAACTATTACAATTTAAAGAAGCTAACTCATCATGGGTGTCTTATTCTAGGAGATCCTGGTTTCTGTGAGCACGTACCATATTGTCTGCCCTATAAGTCGCATCAGTCCAAAAATGTCCAATAAAGTGGAAAAATCCATAAATATGTTGCTTCGCTGTATACGTCGCATCTTTATTGACCTGTTTAAATAAAGGTTGAGTGAATGAAATCTATTACGCATCACCGCTGACAACCTGGAAATGTGGCCGGTGTTGTGCCAAAATCAATCGGCTGGCGGGAGCGTGCACGGGAGGGCTTTAACAAGAAGTTAACATTTAAAAACAATTATTTCTTTGCTCAGAACTACAGTAAAGTTGCGTCTCAATCTAACTTTGACTTAATAAATGCACTTTGACCGTCAAATCAGCTGCATTTCAAAACCTGATTAGCAGAAGCAGGAGCGCGCAGAGGGACGGCTCGCTGTGCATTTCTTTGAAATTTAACAAGATAAACACCTAAAACAATTATTTGTTTGCTTGACTTTAAAGTAAAGGTGTGTCAGTTGAACTTTTACTTAATAAATGCACTTCCACGGTCAAATCAGCTGCATTTCACCGGGGCGGTGCAGAGAAATGAAGATGATTTGACGATTGCTCCGGGCGAGCTGGACTAAGACCCATTGTGTCATTAATGGTCACTTTTACCTATTATATTACATGACATAACAGCGTGCCATACTACGCAAGTGCCATCTAGCAGCTGAAAATGGTAGTGTTCAATATTTTCAGTCAGAATGAATGAAAATGGTCAGTTCTCAGCCAAAATTGGTTTATAAATATGGAAAAAACATAAATACGTTGCTTACTGACTTATATACAAATGACTTATAGGCTGAAAAATACAGTAAATGTTCAACTTTCTCTGCGGATTGAGCGAAGGATCACATTAATTCTCTCCATGCAGTTGATAAGTTTCGCTCAGCATGGCCTGGAATAAATTCACGAGAAGAAAAGGAGAGCGCAAGACGGAATGATATATGCAAAGAAAATCCCCCGTGCGCTCTGAAAAGTTTCACAGAGACGATGAGCGACCGGCGGCAGATTGATGGCAGACGACAGCAGGACGAAATAAATTCCTATTTACAGCCCTGAAGTATTCAAACTGAAACGCTGAATAGAGAGCAGGCGGTGGCAGAGAGACGGAGAGGAACGAGGTCAGCTCGCTGAGAACGGTGGAGAAGATTCACCGTCCTGCTGAGGATAAAGTCAAACGGAGCCGGATGGTGAGCGAGCGCACGAGTCTGAGGCAGAATCAAAACACTCATGTGAGACCTGGAGCGTGTTTCTGCTGGGTGGACACAGTAGAGAAGTCAAAGCAGGTCATGAACGACAAGAGGATGTAGTTGAAAGCAGCTCCACGTCTCAGTCTTCACAGCAGAAATGTTCCAAGTTGAAACGGGTCACAGAAAGTTGGACTTTATGTGACTGGACTCGTGTTTTAAGCCTTTAACGTACATTTACACAACAGTTGGAGGGTTTACCACCTTCCCCTCTGCTCAGCGGCTTTGAATGTGATCAGTCCGTTAAATGACAATTATTTTTAGTTGTTGTTATCACTCTCGCTCCTACCTTCTAGTAGGTTTAAAGGTACGTTATCATCACTGATAATATGCAGCTTTGCACACGTGTAAAACCAGAAGTTTGTTGTTTTTAGTTTTATTTAACCCTTTTACTAAACCTAACCTTACACCTGACCCAGAGCACTGCCCTAAACTTAACCCCAGACCCTTGACTCTTAACCTAACCCCCTGACCCTATTATCAGTGATCAGAACCTGCTAGGAGGTACAGGAGGGACAGTCTGAACGCCACCCATGGGGATGATAACAATCAAAGCAGGTGCTCTGTTCCCTAGAAGAATGGAGAAACCACCATGACAAGCTCTTTAGTTTCTGGTTTATTCTTTCTTATATTCTTCCATCATGGCTGCACCCCCCCTGTATATTTTCAATCACTGCGTTTCTACAAAATTCAGGTTTTAAAATGAAAACAAACAAACACAAATCCCAGAAGACAAATTGAAGAAGGTTTGGATTTCAAAATAAAGTCCCATCCCTGCTCCATGGACAGATTCAGGAAGTATTTTGTCCCTCAGCCATCAGAATGTTCAACTCCTCCCCATTCAATAAAAATAGAGCCGTGTAAATCTGCAGCCCCCCGGACACTCATGTACATGTATGTATGTATGTTGCCATCTTATTTGTAAAAATAAAAATAAAATATCTGTATGCCTTTTTATAATTGTCCTTTGTTGTCATCGTTCTTTGTTGAAATCAGGTCTCTCTTGTAAAAGAGTCCTCGAGGCTCAATGGGATTTACCTGTATAAATAAAGGTTGAATGAAAAATGTATATATACATGTACATATGTACATATGCATATATGTGTACTGTATGTATGTGTGTGTATGTTTGTATACAGGTTAATCATGAATGTAGTACTCCCTACCACCTTGTGCATTTTTGTCTTTTTTAAATTTGTGTATTCTGCTTCTTTTTTTGATTATTTCATGTGTATTTTTTTCTGTATAATTAGAAAATGCTACTGATGCCCCCCCACCAGGGAATAATAAAGTATATATCTACATAAATATAACAGACCCCCTTGAAAATAAGTGCATGACTTTGTGAAAGCTTGTTGACTGATACAAATGTGAATTATTTAAGATTAAACATTTGTTAAAACCTAAAAACAAAAGCTGTGTTGCACGTTTTCTTCGGAGCCCTTCCAGCTGAATGAAAGGGTTGACGCTGGTGCGCAGCGGTGAACGTGTTCAATCACGCTGCACGCACACTCAAAGAGCGAGGAGGCAGCTCATCGTTTGTTTACAGCCACATCAATTATCAGCGGTAACGTGCGCCGACTGATGAGACCTTTCAGGAGAGCTCAGCTGAGTTCAGACGCAGAAAGATGTTGGACCTCAGAGCAACGCTGCTGCTGCTCGGAGAGCAGGAGAGACCTGATTTGTTCAGTCAGGTCAGCTTGGCGTGAGAAAAATGCAAAGCAGCTTCTTTTCTGACTCCGAGCACTTCTCCAACTCCTCTCTTTTGATCACTCGCTTCTTAAATGAAAGTGCTTCTCATTTCAGTTGCATCACTTTTTCCCATCCAGCCCTGCACTTATCTTCCTGCTCGCATCGTCCCATCGTTCCTCTGCTGAACTCCTTTCAGCTGTTTCCTCCGACTCACCGGCCGTCCCCTCCATCCTCTCACTCCT